AATCTTCGAAAAATCTTCTTTCATTTCTCGCATCTACTTGCATCGTGCATCATCTTTATGCAGGAAATCTTCAGAATCGTCATCAATCTTCTTGTTACCTACTCAGAGGCGCGCAGCTAACCACAATTTTCTATCGTAGATAGAGTCGCCCCCCGTGGTATCAGGAACTTCAGTGGTTGCGGTGGTTCAATAATGAGTTCTAACAGCGAACAACAAATTTCATCTCACTAACAAGCAAATCACACCAATACGAACTAAAGCCCTCTAGTTAAAGTATGAATAACTGTCACCACAAAACTGAAAAAAAAACTGTTCCAATCGAGCAAACTGGTGCATTTTGACGGTTCGATTGGAACAACTTTTGACAGACTCAAAAATATTACTAAGCAAAGATAGATTTAAATCTAATCATTTTTGGGATAAGCAAATTTTATACATTGATCCGATTAAAATTCTCTTCAAAATTATACTAAGTCAGAATAACGCTGTGAGATTCAGTGTATACAGAGGATATATAAATTTCATAATAAAAATATCAATTCAATCGCAATGGCTCATGTAGTCGATCAAGTTCGTTTTTGGATGGAAAAAATTAGTAATTTAAATAACACTAAAAAGAAAGCTGAAAGTTCAACAGTTAATGGTATAGTTTTCATAAACCTCAGTTTGGATAAAATACATTATTACCTTTATTTTTAGGAAGAATTCGGGTTTCAAGTTATTTCATTTTCACAAATAACAAGCAAGCCACCACTAAGCAGATTGGATCTCCCAAAAAGGAAAACTAACCCATGTAACCGGGACCGAATGTGCTGTACAATGTGATGCCACCATTGATGCCCGATGAGCTTCCCTCGTAAGTCGTGCGGATCAACACGGTGAGGGTCATCAAATAATCTACAAACGGTATCTCAACTTTCATAGGATCTGCCCCAGGAGAAATTATATGGACGTAAGTTTTCAGTCCCTTAACATTGCTAAAAGAACCCTATTTCAAAATTCCCTCTTCTCTGCCCACAGCTTGGCTCATCAACTTCCATTTCCTTACACCCCAAATCCTAAATGAATTAAACCTTACACTGCGAAATGGACCTCTGTAAGAGTACCACCGACTTCTGCAATTCCACGGTAACCAGTTATCGTTCCAAGACTCGACTTGTAGATAGCATAGTTCTAGTGGCACAGGAATGGTTAGTAAATTTAGTTGAATTTATCATTTTTATAAAAACAACTGTAAAATGTATCAGCTATTTTGCTATGAATAAATTATTCTTGATCAAATTCTTTTATTTTGATTTGTATACAATAAATTGAAACAAGAAAATGTACCTGACTCTCTGCACTCTAACATTATAGTACCCATTAATGAGTACAATTTCACCCATTTTGAAGTAAAGTAGATTAACTTATTAAATGGATAAAAAATACCCATAAATGAGTAACGTTTATCCACTAATGGGTAACAATTACTCATTTATGGGTATAAGATACCAATTAATGGGTATTTTTACCCATTAAATGGCTTAGCCTTTTTTACTTCAAAATGGGTTGTTACGCCCTTTGGCGAAAACCCCTCCGTCAACGAAGACACACCCAGCGTTCATCGAGAGGATTGCTGAGACGTCAACTGACTATAATAAATTGAAAACACTTGAAGAGCAAAATTAGCCAATCATTACAAACTATTATTATCAATAGAACTATTATTCCTCTTTAGTAACCTTAATAGTAAGTAAATTAGTTAATACCTAAATTAGTGAATTAAATAGTCTAAAATTTGCCAAACAAAAGTGGCTATATGGTAAGTAAATGATATTGCACATTAGAATTGTGAAACCAATTGCAACAATATTTCAGACTATAAACATTCATTTCGCATGGTTTGCACACAATTGAATTACGCTATAGTATTGTACCAAAGTAAGGTAATGCATTTATTTATTGGACAATTGAAATAATGTAACCACTAAATTATAAAACTAATTAAACAGATATTGTAAAGATTCGACAAACACCGGATAGCGTCAGCGGATCTGAAGTAAACACTAAACGTAAGTTAACCTAAAATAACTAAGCTGAACATTATGTAAACTTTGATTGTTTGTTGATATTCTTTAGGGAAATTATAACTCTCTCGAACAAATCACATCATGGACTGTTAAATATCCGGAAAGACCGACCGATTTGTTACCAGTAACAGTAACATGGGTGAAAATGTACCCATTAATGGGTTATTTCCAGTTACAGTGTGAGGTAGTTTCGTATGTCAATTTTTTCAGTATTCAGTGCTAACATTTGAAAACGGCACAAAAGCCATTTGTAAACAAATGGTTTGTGGGCCCTTTACTCACTACTTGAAGTACACCCACGCGACACAACAGCAACATCGGGTAGGGGAAATTTTCCCCTTCCTGACGATGCTGTTGGTTTGCGTGGGCGTTCTTCGGGTAGCGAGTAAAGGGCCCACAAACCATTTGTTTACAAATGGCTTTTGCGCCGTTTTCAAATGTTAGCACAGATATGTCATATTCAGTACACGGCGAATGAGAACGACCCAAATTTGAGATTAGTTCACTCATAATCGCCAAAAGTGCAGGAACTCATGAGTCAATTTGCCTCAAGGTTTCCTGTGGAAAACCTAAAAAATCTGCCGGAAAATGAGGAAAATTGACGAAATATGCTATTCACTCTAGGAATAGTACCAATAGACTGAGTGAATCCAATCTTTACTTTTCTCTTTTTTTTTCCTTGATTTGTTTTCCATCGATCTTATTTTCCGTGCTGAGCACCCTAATAACAATATACCATATCCAAACGATAACCAAAATATTTAAACTATTCCACAAATGGTTTGGATGATAACCTGAATACGTCGTTAAGCAAAATAACCATACACATTTTATTAGGGAAGGCAGCTCGTACACCTGGGCCCTACCTATCGACCAACCAGCGCCGCTACTTTTCTCATATTCGGGATTTTTTTTCCTAGAAAAATCTGGGTTTTCCCAAGAAAATTTACCTATTGCTGAGTTCCTGCACTTCATGTGATTTATGAGTTAACTAAACCCAAATTTGGGTCGTTCTCATTCGCGGTGTATGTCATATTTTTTTATCTGCACGGTTAGAAAAAAGTACCCAAAAGTAAGTTCTTTTCACTCATCTCGGCACTAAAGTGCAGGAACCCAAAAATAGGTAAAGCGGGTCAAAGTAGTTTTCATTTACTTGTGTGCAATTCGTATGGAATTTTCCACTAGCTTTCAACGCAAAAGTAAGTTAGTTGTACCCAACAGTAGGTAAATATTATTATACTCAACGTTGGGTTCCCACACGTTACTACCCCTGTTGGGTGGTTTTGCTCCTCCGTTTTTGACAACATTAGAAGGAGAAAAGGAGACAAACTAGTCAAAAGTAGGTAAAAGTGAACTGGCCGTTGGGTACTTTTTTCTTACCGTGTGGGTTCCGACCAAAACGCTTAAATCTAGCGTTCAGAATCATAATGGCCTAACTGCGATGATCGATTCTCCTCATAGATTGTCTCTACACATAACCAGAGTTAAGTGAATCAATTTTCCGAAATTATTACAATTCAGTGTAGTGAAAGGTTGTATTTACTTGCAAATGCAACATCAAACGCACCGCAAAATGTTAATGCAGCCGAGTTATTAACAAAACAGAAAATCGATTTGAAGAATCGATCATCGCAGTTAGGCCCTTATGATTCTGAACGCTAAAAATTAATCTGGAAACGCTGTGCTCCTTCATGTTAATTGGCGTCTTGCAGTGAAACTTTTCCAAGCTTTCGCCTCATACATTTCGAAGTGAGAACTACTAGAAGGAGGATAGTTTCCAAATTTTTCAAGTAAAACAGACGATTTTTGGGGCAAATCGGTCCATAAAGAAAAACTAATAATTTCCCGTGGAAACTTTTGCTTGAAACGTGTAAGAAAACGTGTTTGAAAACTAATTGTTATTATTTCGGTATGGATCGGAGAGGTTTTCATTGAAAATAATGCATAACAAGTTTGCACCCACAGCGAGAGGTTACCTCCTGCGCAGCTGCATTTTTCGGAAAATGGTGAATATGTGCGATTTCCACTAAGCTGAAAGTGGAAATTAAGTTAATTTACTTAGGAAAGGTTGTATCATGCTGGTGGTAATGGAGAATCGGTTGTATAGGACGCCAATATTCAATAAATGTTCCTTTTGGCCTTTTCTAAGCAAACATATTGATACTCACAATAGCTCACAATTTTCGACGGAACTTGCTTTACTCAACACGCACCATACTATAAAATGGTGCTAGATGGTCTTCAAAGTGATAACAAGATGACAAATCATCTTTATTTCGAGTGATTGAGCAATTTACTTCTGTTTACATCATATTTACGATGCAGCATTGATGGAGCCGCGAAATGAAATGAATATATCTTATGAAAGTTCAACTGGAAAAGTCAAAGATGCACATCAGTCTGATCGTAAACACGTTTTCTTCTTCAATTCGAATGTTATATTGGAAGGATTTTACACAGGTTTGATGAAAATTATGATTTAACGCTAATTTTCACGAATTTTATATGCAGTCTGTCAACATTATCATCATCATGCAGTGGCGACATCTGCGTTGAGCTTTTACGGCAATCTTCCAATGGAGATGGATTCTAAAGCGCACAATTCAAGCTGAACATTGCATTAAGTCCTAAGGAACATTGACAGATTCTCTTCGTCGACTTTCTCTTTGCATCCCCACAGCCATGTACAAACATTCCCACTTATTTTCAGTTCACAGATCGATAAATGAAGCCTTTATGTAGCATCTAATACGTCATCCAGATCAAGAAACGGTTATGTGCTCAAGTTATAAACGAAAGAGAAAGTCGATGAAGAGAATCGATCAATGTTACAAAACACCTAATGCAATGTTCAGCTAGAATTTTGCATAATTTGACGTTTATTGTGTTTGTTTACTACCATCGCCAATCATCGTTGTTTTTCGTAGAATAATCACCACAAGCCAAAAACTAACGCAAAATTCCCTATTTTTTAGCAACTCGGAACGGCCAGTGGCCACACACAGAGCATGAATCCATCGGAGGTCATCTGCCGGACCTGCCTGGCAGAATGCGTCCCAATGATGAATCTGTCCAGCAGTTGCGATTTTCCAGCTCCCTCACCGCCGTGCATGGCAGAAGACGGGGAACAGTCGTCCCTTTCCGCCGCCGGGACCAACGCGACGGCGATGACGATGGTGGCAATTCAGCTCGGGAGCATCTACAGTGAACTCACACGGATTCCCCTACAAGACGAACCCCAATATACCGTGACAACTCACATTTCCTCACATGTGTGCATTAGATGCGTGGAGCAGTTGAAGGGGTTTTACCTGTTCCGGAACAAGGCGATCAAAGCGTACGAGGAACTGCAGACGAAGGCTAGCATTGCACAGATCATCAGCCAGCTAGACCAAAGCTCGATCGGGAGCGTCCGGAATGATCGCTTGGAGGAGGATTTTGCCGAGGATTTGATCGCTGGGGATGAAATGGACGAGAGGTTCAAGAAGCCCCTGGCAGAAGGTGAATTGCGATGTGATATCTGCAAGAAGGTGTTTAAAAACAGGAAGATGCTGGCAAGACATCAGGAGATCCATTCAAGCGAGAACAAGTATAAGTGCCGATACTGTGGGAGGTGGTTCCGGGCCCGAAGCAGCTGGTACAATCACGAGCTGAAGCATCGAAATGCGACTGGGAAGGAAGAAAAACTGGAACGGGAGTTTCTTTGCGAGGTGTGCGCGAAGGGCTTTAAAACGAAGAAGCAACTGAAGGATCATCTGGAAATTGTTCACCAAGGAGTCAAACGGTACCACTGTGATATCTGTAAGAAGAGCTTCACACGGAACGGTTCCTTGGCGGAGCACAAACTTATACAACATGCCGGAATCAAGCAGTTTTCGTGCAAGGTTTGTGGGAAATCGTTCGGCAAGGAGGACTCTCTGAAGACGCATCTTTCGATCCACCTGGGAAAACGATTCCGATGCGAGGTTTGCTCGAAGCGTTTTTTGAAGCGAGCATTCCTCACGGCCCATGTGGCAAAGTATCACCCTGCGGACAATATACCGAAGGGAAATTCATGTCAGATTTGCAAAAAAGTGTTCAGCTCTTCGTCTCATCTTAAAGACCATCTGAAGATTCATTCGAATGTGAGACCGGAAATGTGCAAACTGTGTGGAGCGTCCTTCCGCCAAAAGCAGCAACTGAAGGTACACATGTACCAGCATTTGGGTAAGCCTTACAAGTGCCAATTTTGCACTGCAGCTTTCGGAATTCGTGCTCGCTTGATGAGCCATCTGACGAAGAATCATTCGATTGAAATTCAGAACATGGCAAACCGGGAGGCAACACAGGAACCGCTCGTCGCCACCGTTCCTCCGGAGATCATCAACGAACCGGACTTCGGCGATGGTGCCATCAACGAAGAGATTCTAAACGAAATTTGCTACCAAATCGATGCCAATCAGATCGTCTTGCAGAACATCGAAGACGATGGAGTTAATCTGATTTACAGCAGCAACGAGCACATCGTATTCTTTGACGATGGAAACAATCTCCTACCGGACGAAATCGAAGGGGTGGACGCCGCCATTGGACAACTGTACGATTTCACCAAGCAGGGCTACACTCTTCCGGAGGGAAATGATAATAAAGACAGTTAAAGGGAAAGCGAACTCGTTTGCCTGCACCGTTCCGAACTAGTCCTCTTTATTGGCCATCTTTTCCTTTTTCGCCTTTTTCCGCACAGCTTCGCTCTGGTCCAGATGGCTCTGGAAGAAACTGGCTTCCTTGCGCGCCTGGGCGATTTCCGTCCGCAGCTTCTGTTTGAACACTGCCCGCTCGTATGACAACCGTTCGCTCAGATGGATCCACTTGAACCGCGGCAGGTACTTCATGCTCCACAGGATGTCGCAAAAGACCGACTTCTTCTTGATGCTGATCGGTTTAGTGTTGAGAAACTCAACCACGGCTTTCGCCACACGTTTCCGCTTAAATTCTACCCATCCTTCGGTATACCGAATCATGGCGCGTTTGCCTCTGGCCGTTTTCTTCTTAATTGACCCACCTGGAACGGAATCCGTCATTGTCAACTTCGGGATTTCAATAAAACATAATGAACACATCTACCTTTACGTTCCGGTTGCAAATAAATCCGCCCCACGTCCCCATAGGGTTCCAATAGCTCGCGCAGTATCGTTACGTTCATGTGCTTCGGGATCGAAGAGATGAAGATGACTCCCGGTTTCTTCTTTATATTCAGTGGTGTAACCAACTTGACCTTCGACCGCTTGGTAGCAGGTTTTTCAGATTCTTCCTCACCGTCATCGCATTCCTCTTCCGCATCGTCGGAAGGTTCTGCTTCCGAGTTTTGGTCGTTTTCGGATTCACCGTCGTCATCGTCGTCACTTTCAGGAGGTGCCACTCGTGCTTGTTGCTCTGTCGTTTCATCGTCCGATTGTGCGGCTTCCTCCCACTTGGAACTGTTGAGGGACTTTCGGAGTTTTTTCTTGCCTAATTTTAACATTTCAGTCGTCTTGGAACGCTATTTTTCGCAAAAAAGCAAATTTAAATTTTAGCTCAGAATTGAACGAAGTGAATATTTTGAATTCGGATTGAACCATGCGCGTTCATGACGTTTCTTTGTTTGCCGGGTCTTCGATTTCGATTCGCAAAACATCAACAGGGTTCTGCTCCCGGGAATTTACAAAACTTGCAAAACTTTAAGCCAAACAATTCATAATGTCCTATGTAACATTGGTCGATTCTCGTCACGCTAACTTGAAAGACTCGTTTTGAAGAAAAGTGGCTTAACTGAGTACAAAATAAGTAATTTTTTATACTATGTAATGAGTATCTGTAATGTAATGGGTAAAAAATTTACTAATTTAATTAGTAAAGCCACTTTGAATCAAAATAGGTATTTTTAACGATTAATAGGTACTTTCAAGTTAGCGTGTTCATCGTTAATCCTTCGTTAATAACATGGCTCCAAACACCGTTTCTTATCATGTTTTCCGTGCTAGATGCTAGATAAGTTAGCGGCGCCAGTGGTGTAGTGGTAAGCGTGATTGCCTCTCACCCCAAAAAGCTTGGGTTCAATCCCAGTCAGCACCAATCCCAGTCGACCTCTGATCACGCCTTCCTTTTGGGTGGGGAGGGAAGTAAAGCCGTTGGTCCCCGGTCCATGAATTGATGGGTCGATAGGTAGGGTCCAGGTGTAGGAGCTCTGCCTCTATGGCGTCGGTAGCATTCTGGGGAGGGACGTGCTGTCAAATCAGCCTACTGATCATTCTTGTATGAAATTGGTTCCAAACGTAAACAAACCCTGTATGTTTCTTATGGCTTGTTTACGTTTGGAACCAGTTATGAGAGGTAGGCGACCATTGTTCGTATTTGATAGCCACCTCCCGCCCCTTGGTAGCATTGATACGGAAAACAAATCAAAGATAAAAAACGCTAGATAAATAATAACATCTTCCATCGAACTGTGTTCAAAATAGCTGGAAATGCTTTCGCATGGCTGTGGTGATGCAAAGAGAAAATCGATGAAGAGAATCTGTCAATGTTACTTGGGACCTAATGCATTGTTCAGCTTGACTTGTTGTGCGTCGAATTATTAGTCTCTGCTCATGTCTGTGGTTTTATTTATTATTCTGAAGCAGACACCTGCAGAATCCACCTATTTAAAGTTGATTATTTGACAGTTCTAATTGGATTTAAAAAAAACGAAAAGCAAAACAGTTACCTACCGGCCAAACACAAAAACGGCTCCTTTTTGTTCAGAGAAGTAAATTTAAAATGTCAAATGTAAATTTAAAATGTCAAAAGTCAAATAGCAAACAAAATCAGTGAAAAATGTCCGCCAATGTAAGCCTACTACACTAACAATTTCACCTTGCAAAAATTAATCCGTTCCCTTCCCGTCGCAGAAATCCAAAGGATGGTTCAAGTCGGCTTTCGATGACGAAATGACTCCAACGGTCAAGCGAAGCGCATCGACTGGCGGGGAACCTTCGACCAAACTGGTCAAGAGGAGTAGTTTTGGTCAGAACTCCTCCCTTCCGAGATTGGTGCAGATCGATTGGTCCGTTGATCTAGCACCGAAAACCGTTGGAGATTTGGCGGTTCACCCGAAAAAGCTCGAAGAAGTGCAGCTGTGGTTCAAGACCTACGACCGACTGAAGGGTACCGATCCGGTTACCATCCTGCTGATCTCCGGACCGGCAGGGTGCGGCAAAACTATCACGATAAAAACGGTTGCCACGGAGCTCGGGTACGAAATAGCCGAATGGACCACTCCGGTAGATGTGGATCTGTTCTATCGTGATAATTACGATTTCGATAATGGTACCAAGGAGGAAACAACTTATCGGGAAGGCCAGAAGGAGCAGTTTGATGCGTTCCTATACAAGACATCCAGGTATTGTTCGATTTTCGAAGGTGGATCGGACCAGAAGCTGTTGCTGGTGAAAGACATTCCTAACGTGTTCCTGCGGGATCCGGAAGTACTTCGCACTTCGCTGGAAGCCTACCAGGATACGGGCGCGTCACCGTTGGTTTTCATCGCCACTGATACGTCGAGCAAAAAGCTGGACATGGTGTTCAATCTGTTTCCTCCGGCCGTATTGCAAGACTTCCGCATCCATCACATCACGTTTAACAGTGTTTCGACGACGTTGATGAAGAAAGCACTCAAAAGGATCACCTCGCTGATGGTCGGACCGGAAATGACCCGACACTACCGAGTGCCGTCCCAAGAAATGATCGACAGCATAATCCTGTCGTCTCAGGGAGATCTGCGTAGTGCAACGTTGAATGTGCATTTTGCTTCGCTGAAAAATGCGCCACGGTTGGAAACCGAGACGGTTGGAGTGCTGAACACATCCGGTGTACGAACCGGAAAGGGTAGAAAAAAGGAGACCAAGCTCAAGTCGGTCGGAGGTGATGAAAGCATCACACTGATGCACGCCCTCGGGCGGGTGTTCAATCCAAAATGTGGGTCTTTTTTCCCCATTCCTAGAGCACAATCGTAAAGACTAACATCCTAACGTTGTTGATTCCAGTCGTTCCAGGTGAAGGCAAAGCGGAAAAGTTTCATCACTGCCCGGAGGATCTCACGGATGCGTTCGTTTCCCAACCGAGTTCGATGATATCGCTGGTCCACTCCAACTACGTGGTGCGCTTCACCGATATTGACGACATAGCCGGGGCGGCCGATGCGCTCAGCTTGTCCGATGTGATCATGACCGGTTGTTTCCGGGAGGATCAATTGACTGGCCATGGGCTGAATTTGGTGGTGCGGGCTATGATGGTACACAATCGGAAAACGGCCAGTGGGTGGCAGCAGATTCGCAAAAAGAAGGCCTACGCTAAACCGAGGTGAGTGGGAGAACTGTGTGGGGTGGAAATTATTTGCAATTACTGTTTTAAACTTCGTCTATTTCAGTGTCAGCAACCATGAGCAGCAATTGAAAAAGTGGGGCCTGGAAACTTCGTCCATCTCGGCTGGCCTGTTTGTGACGGATTACAAAAAGTATCTGGACATAATTAAGGGTCCCTAGGAGGGTATGATTTAGGTTGTTAGTATTGCGCATTGTAAGGAAGTTTTTATTTATATGTTGTGCGCCAACTTTTATAAAACTATGGTTTTAATTTTTGGTGTCTTCGGCACACTTCGGCTCAAGGAACACATAAAAAATTTCTTGCGATTCGCAATATTTATGTTGGCAGAATATTTATTAAAAGACACATTCATTACACAAGATTTTGATTGAGCTACAGGAAAGAACAAACCATCCAGTCCATATGAGTTCACTTTGTATTAGTGCTGTTGTATTTTCGAAAAAAGTATGCAGCGGTTGGCCTAAGGTCTCCGATCGGGTCTGGTACGTTTGGCATAACGGGTATAATCGCTACTAATCGGCATTTTTTAATTAAGACTTAATTTACAATCAATGTTTCTTTGAGTTATCCCTAAAATTAATTGTACTTCTCCGAGATTACCTGAAGTCTTCTGAGTGTCTCTAGTTTGATTAAGGTTTTCACAGCTTCTCCAAGACTCGGTGAACTGTTTTGAAGTTCTCAAAATTCCATTGAACTACCCTGAAGTTCTCTGAGGTGTATCTGCTCATCTTTTAAACTCCCTTCAGGTTTCCTGGAACGTCCCTGATAATCTTTCTGAAAATCACCTAAACTTCTCTACGATTTGCTGGGTCTTTCTGAGGTTATCTAGATTACAATAAAGTTCCTAGAACTTCTCAAAAATTCGCTGACCTTCACCAAAAGGTAAAATTCTGGACATTTCTCTGAAGTTCAGCAACACTTTTTTGGGAGTATTCAAAACTTCTCCCTGATGATCCCTTAAATTCTCTGAAGTTCTCAGAACCCCTCGAAGGACTTCTGAGGGAACCAGGGAGTTAATTACAGGAAGAAGTTATGGAATTTATGAGAGGTTCGGTTCGTGGTAAGGGTAAACAATAGTTGCAATTTCCAAACCTACGACTGGATGCCTTCCTTCAAATAACAACTGAAGTGCGGTAAAAAATCGGTAGAACTGTTTCAAACACACAGTTGGTACTTGAGCGGGTCGGTTTTCATCTCTTTTTGCCAGTGGTGGCGGGGGGGGGGGGGGACACCCCTCACCATCCCTCTCCAAAGGGGGAGTTTGGTAAAGAGAGATGAAAAAACCGATTTGTACCTTCCTTAAAAGTTGTCCTAGCTCGCTTGTCTAATATCTATATACAATCTTCACACTGCCGTACTCTAACGGAACTATCAACTCTATGCTTTCATCTACTCCATCTATCGTATAAAAATTACCACTACAGTCTGTTATTTGAAATTAGCATCTTCAACTCGCAAGTTGTTCATCGAACAAGCATTTAACGGAAAATTTAAAAGTATCGTAGTTGGTAGTACCACCACCCGTGGCGCGCTAAGTCAATTCCCTTGCATTTGACGTTTACACACTACCGCCATCTGTTCAGCGTAGTGCCCACCACAGTGTACTCAACAGATGGCGGTAATGTTTTAGCGGCGATGTTTTACAGTGAGAAATATTCTATGTGTCATGTCTGTTTGTCTGTGGTTTAAGGTAAAGCAGGTGTATATAAAATAAGCTGTTATCATTATAACAAAGTATACGTAGGACAAACAAGAGAACTTTAGCAACTATATTTAAATAACATATAGCGGAGGTTAAATAGGCCAAAAAGCTAGAGGGAAAATGGCCTAACTTTCAAATCAAAGGTTGCAGAACACATCTTCACAGAGGACCACCAACTATCAATGGAGGACATCACGATTTTACGAACCGTATCTACACCATGAAAATTGGATGTTGCAGAGAACCTCGAGATCAACAAACAACGGAGTTCAACTTTTCTCAGCAGGGATCAAGTAAAGAGACTGGAATATACAAAGAGACGACATCTGATCCCTGTGAAAATAAATCATATAGCAACCATGTTACGAGATACGAGCAACACTGTCATTATACAAACTTCGCTTGACTTTTGTTTTGGTCGCGGTTGCTCCGTTTGTTATTATTGCAAAAATATCTTGTGTTGCTTTATAATTGCGTTTAAAGTTTAAAAAATCAACAAATATTAAAGATGAAGTGCATGGCATCGTATTGCAGCAATAGAACAACGCCGGGATTCAAAAACATAGCCTTCTTCCGGTACCCGGCCGACCCTAAACTTAGAGCAAAATGGCTGATATTCTGTGGCCTTTCTTAATTTCTGCCTCACGGATAGCAGTCGCCTGTGTAGCGTAAGTTGATAAATACATTAAATTCTAAATTTAACAGATTGTGATTGTCTGATTGCGGTAAATTGCAGTTCCATTTCGGTCAAAAGGATATTTATTTTGCCTCAGTGAAAGGAAAAATTCTGAAATGCAGAGGTGCACTCCCAACTAACAATTTTAGCTGCAGATTAGCTTATACAGCCAAAAATTGGCTTATACAGCTAATTTTTGCCTGTACAAGCTAGTCTGCAGCTACAATTGTTTGTTGGGCTGCCAATATACAGTTTCGTCGCGCAGATTGCCGATTTTCCTGCTTTGCCATCCAAAATAAAGACGCATGAAACATTCGGCGGTGAAGATAACACTATGCTAACAACTTCTGTGGAGAGGTCAGATGCTTCTATCGAATCTTTGGAATTTCGTGCTGGTCCCGCCATACCTCTCGACGAAGAACATCATTCCAATTCCATCGAGCATGAACGGATTTGCGCAAGAACTAAAAAAATGTATGAAGCGTAAGTATATATAATCGTCTATTTCCTGTTTGTGTATGGTAGCCATAATTATTTATTTTAGGCAAATAAGCGAGCTTGAACTCAAATGCAGATCTTTGAAGCATATTGTAAAATCCCAAGAGAAGCAAAACAACCAACATGAGCTAGCATTAAAGGCTTTAAACAAGACATTCAATACCGACCAGGTTGAAGTATTATTGTACGATAAGCAGCGACCTAAGAAATGGAGCAATGCAACAATTACCGAATGCCTGAAAACGAAATTCGCGTGTGGAAAAAAAGGATATGAGAATGAGCGTCAAAAGTATCCTATTCCATCGGAGCGAACATTGCAAAGAAGGATGGAAGATATAGGCTTCGAAAGTGGGATATTGTACGATGTGGTAGAGCTTCTGAGGTTGAAAGTCAACACGATGAATGATGCTGACTTGGACTGTGGCATTGTGTTCGACGAAATGTCTATCGAGGATGCCCGATCCCATTGTATTTCATCTGGAAAGTTCTATGGGAACGTGACAACAGAAGATCAAAGCGTTTTGGCCAGCCATGCTCTAGTATTTATGCTAGTAGGAAGGCTTGAAGTTCCACAAGGCTGATGTATTGAGCAGTACCCCAATTACGCATCCTGTTGATCATAAGCGAACGTTGGACGTCATGCCGGACGTAGTACATGTGTTCAAATCAGCAGTGCAAGGTTGGGTCAACAATGAAGTTCTTTATTTACCACCGGAAGTAGTGACAGCAAACAATTTGTGCACATCGGAGGTAAACATACACCACATTGCGGAACTTGTAAATTTTGAGAAACATAATCTCCTGAAAGTGGCATCGAAGTTGAAACCAGACGATGTGGACTTCAAAAAGAAGAGTAAATACGACGCGATGAAGGTGATCACTCACAGAAATTTTTTGAACACCAATGTTTCTGCAGCACTTCGTTTTTACAGCCAATTGGCAAACCGCCCTGAAGTTATTGCCACTGCATATTTCATAGAATGTCTTTCTAAATGGTTCAATTTGTCGTCGAATAGAAAATTTTGCATGGCTCTGGGTAAAAGCAAGTATCGTAATTCACTATCAGTAGGGTAAACGCTCCTATAGTTGCGGTACGTTAGAAGCGTTAGGTTCCTATAGTTGTGTATGGAGACTCCATACACAACTATAGGAACCTAACGCTTCTAACGTACCACAACTATAGGAGCGTTTCCCCTATATGTTTTATCTTGTAATGTACATATTCATATTTTATAGGTAAACCAGAAGTTTACAAAGAAACACTAAAGTTCCTTTGTTTCTTCAAGAGCATGATACATTCAGTAGGGGTAGGCTATCAAGGAAAGTGGAAACCGTGGCAATCATCCATCATTCTAGCCACAAATTCTATTTTACGACTACAGGACTATTTTTTGAATAGGAGAAATTATTCATTTTTATTAACTGCTCGTTTTACCCAGGATTGTATTGAAAATCTGTTTTCACAAATTCGTGTTAGGCAAAAGAGGCCAACGGCATTACAGTTCAGGAACCTATTAAAATCAATCTGTATATCGCAATATTTAACTGATGTACCTGGGTCATCATACGATCCTGACGATAGGGAATGGCTTATTGACTTCCCGAGCAACGTTCATCATCTAGTGCAGAAAAAGGAATCTGAAAAGGAAAATATGTGCCTGCCTGTTGCTGTACCATCAGATCTACCTATTGCACCACCAGTATTACATACACTGAATGCGTCAGAACGGAATGTGCTGTACCATATTTCAGGATTAATCATGCGTGAGCAAATGTATTTCAACTCAGCCATACTTAGCCAATTTCAGTAAATTCACAATACTGAAGGAATTTATGGGACACGCCTTAATTTATGCTAATGAAGAAACGTTTTTATTTTTCGTTAATTTGGAAACAATTATAAGGAGACATGTAAACACATCAGATGCTGACGAAATTAATCAATTTGAAAAGCTTGTAGCTATAATGGACTTAGTTCAGACGCATCATTTCATAGACTGTCACAACATTGAGGGTAAATTGATTAGAAAATTTGCTCTATTCAGGTTAAAAACGTTGGAACCCAATAAGAATCGCAAGAATAAATTTGACAGCAAATCAATGGCTCTGTAATAACATTTGAATGACCATGTCATGTAAAAATACGAGCAAAATATATATATATATATATATATATATATATATTTCTACCAGCAATGTATTACAATTTATTTTCTTCTTCACGAAACTTTACAATTTTCAGACTTCCACTCTCTTTCCTAGCAAATCATAAAAAAAACATTTCCTCTGCACTTCCACCAATTTATTTCAACCTCATCTTTGAACTACTGTGTGACCTCAGGTTTTATACTAAACGCAAATAATGAAAGCGATTCCAAAGTGCCGAAGAATGTAAATACCTAGTGGTTTTTTGTTTTTCTTCTGCTCCATTCCGATTTTCGTTTGTTTCAAC